TTTTCTCTAGTTTTTAAATGCTCCCCACACACACACAGACACACATCACAGGGGGACGAACAACAGAAAAGTGGGTGAAGGGTGACAGAGGACAATATAAGATATGAAAATAATAATCAGTAATGTATCAAGGGTTCATGAGGGAGAGGGGGAGGCAGAGGGAAAAGTGAGGAGCTGATATCAAGGGCTCCAATAGAAAGAAAATGCACTGAAAATAATGATGGCAGCATACATACAAGTGTGCTTGATACGATGAATGTATGGATGGTGATAAGAGATGTAAGAGCCCCCAATAAAAGTATTTAATAAAATAATAATACATTCAGCTAAAGGAGCTGAAGGAAAAAAATCAAACCTAGAATTGTAATATTGAAGGATTCTATGGCAAAATATTGAATTATGAAGGAAGTTTAAAAGAATACACAGAATAATTGTCAAAAAGAATTTGTCAATATTCAACCATTTACATTGTATTGTTGACATATGCAACCAAGGGGTTGTAGATGATCCAGAACCATCAGCATTGAAGGAAAACTCTAAGCTGTGTAAAGGCAATCACAAAAAACAAGGTCCTGGGCGTATGGAGATTACCGGTTGAAATGTTTCACGAACTGATGCAGTGATGAAAGCATTCAGTAATCTATGTCAAGAAATTTGAAAAGCAACTACTTGGTCAAACAATTTCAAGAAATCAACCTTGGGGTTCATTCCAAAGAAGGGTGACCCAACATAATGTGGGATTGTTACATGAAAGTAAAATTGTACTGAACATCATTCAATGGCAATTGTAGTAGACAGGTCCATGCCAGACATTTACGTCAGATTCAGAAGACTATGTGTGACTAGAGGTAGCACACAAAAATTAGTGGAAACAGTTGCAAGCATCTATTACTACTCAGAAGGTAAAATGGACAAAGTATGAATCTAGCAAAGTCACTGAAAATTAAATGGAGCACATAAATATTATTATCCTAGGTATCTGCTGAAATAGAGTAGGATTGGCTGTTTATAATCAGGTAATCCGTTGGTTTACTATGCCAGAAATGATCAATTTAAGAGGAATGACATCAAGTTCATCATCAAAAAGAGCACTGAAAGAGTTATCTTGAGGCACAGTGATGTTTTTAATAGACAATTATCTATACTCCTGCAAGGTACTGCAAGTAATATAACTGTTGTTCAAATTTGCACACCAGTCACTAAAGCAAGTCATGAAGAAACTAAAGATTTATACCAAACTTATTGTCTTTAATTAATCAAACATGCCATCAATATGCAATGATAATTATTGGTAATTGGAATATGAAAGTTGAAAACAAAAAGGAAGGATCTGGGGTTGAAAAGCCTTGGTAGCAGAAACAATGTCAGATCATATGACAGAATTTTGCAAGAACAATGACTTCTTCATTGCAAAGACTCTTTTCCAACAACATAAATTGGGATTATACATGTGAACCTTGGCAGGCCAGAAGAAAATACATAGGACTCAAACTGTCTATTTCTGTAGGAAAAGGTGATGGAGACATTCAATGCCATCATTCAAAACAAGGCCAAGAGTTGAAGCTGAAGAAAATTAAACTGAATCCATGAGAGGCAAACTACGACCTTGAATACATCCCACCCGAATTTAGAGAGCATCAAGAACAGACTCCATGGACTGATGCTAAGGACCCAAAAGACCTAATGAGTTGTGGGCTGACATGAAGCACACTGCACACAAAGAAAGCAAAATATCATTTAAAAGATAGGCAGGAAGGAAAGAAAAGAACAAAGTGGATGTGTTAGGCAGAATTCTCTAGAGAAACAAAACCAAGACACTTATGAATAGATTATATGTGGATAGGTTTATACAGCGAGAAGGAACATAAGAGTTAATTAGTTGGCACAACAGTATAGAGAGCTCAGTTCAACTACTTTTGTGGAAGTTAATATACTGTAAGCCCTTGGACTTACATAGGCTGCCTGGTCCAAGGTCGACGCAGACGGGCGGAGTCCTCCCTTGGCCAAGGCAGACAGTCTGCCAGCAGACAACAGTCAGTAGCTCAGGAGCTTAGTGAAGCAGGCCCGGATGGGATATCGAACTCAAACAATGCAAGGTGCCAGAATCCACCAGCCTCAAGCTCAAGAGATGTATGCACCAGTAGCATGGTGAAGCAAGTCTCGAAGGAGCCTCAAGTTCTAGCAACATGTTTCATGAGTTGGCTTGGCCCAAAGGTGGTGAAACACACAGGTTGAGGCAGAGCACTAGCTCAAGCAGCAGCATGTTGGTCTGAACACCAGAGAGCAAGAGAGGTGTGGGGAGCCCTTCCAGAGCCATTTATCGATTTGCCCTCCAATGAAACTGTGACCTGACATGTTTCTATTGGCCAAGTTGGCACAATAAACCTATCTCAGTCTACCCCTTGCCAACTTGGCTCCTGTACACAATTCTTTAGCCATATGTAATTTCCAGACATTAATGAAATCACACTTACACCTAACATCATACATACCAATGAAATCACGCTGAATCTAATTTATATGGTAGATTTTACAAGAACAAAGGATATACAATAAGCACATATACAGAAATACTGACAATCCCAAACCTGGCTTTTGCAATTGAGCATGTGGTCATAACTGATAGATAAAACTACCTTCTTCTACTACCCATTCTGTTACCTTTGCCCTCAGCCAGCACCACAGCTGGTCGGGGTTCTTTGCCTATTGGGGTGAACCAAACCTTCATTTACCATTTACTTTAATCACAGGCCATGGTGGTACTAAGAAACAACCTAGGAAATTTCCCGGATTCCAGACTTACTCTTCTTCACCTCCATTATGTCACACCAGTCCAATATCTCCTTGGTAATCAGGATCAATCACACCACTCAGTAAAGTGACACCCTTCCTGACCTGTTGATACAAAAGCATAGGAACCCAAAGTAGGCAGGGGGCATTCTCAGTTGCCAGTTCAGTGGAATCCGTGTTGTTTCCAGGTGAGAGATTTCCTTCCTTTAGTACTAGGACCTCCAGTCCTGGAGCGCATAGGGTTGTTGGCACAGGAAGCAAAAATGCTGCAAGTGGATCACTACGACAGATTGGACACTCAGCAGTGGGAGTGGCCAAGTCAGTGTTGGTGAGTGGAAATCCATCTTGCTGGGCCCATGCATAATCTTCATCCCTGCCACCATGTCTACTTTGTTCATGTGCCCACTGGGCAATGACAGGAGTGGTGGATCTTATCCACTTGATTATTAAAGTCCTCCTCTTCTAAGGTAACCCTTCGGTGAGCACTCACATGAGACATGATTATCTTTACTTTCTTTACCCATTCAGACAGGTCTCTCCAAATACCTCTTCCGTACATCTCGTCACCAATTTTCCAATTACGTTCCTCCCAATTCCCTGACCATCCATCCATGCCATTAGCCACAACCCATGAAACAGTACACAATCTCATTATCTGTCCATTTCTCCTTCCAGGAAAACTGTATGGCCAGGTGCACTGCTCGAAGTTCTGCCCATTGGAAGAGTTTCCTTTAACCACTGTGCTTCAGGGAGATCCCAGAAAGGAGATGCAGTGCCGCTGCTGTCCACTTACAAGTGGCACCCGCATATCGTTCAGAGCCATCAGTAAACCAAGCATGACTTTTCTGTTCCTCAGTCAAGTTATCATATGGAACTCCCCCAGAGGCCATAGGTGCAGACTGGGAGAAGGAAGGTACGGTAACGGTGGTGGAGACTGTGGGCATTTGGGCCACTTCTTCATGCAACTTACTTGTACTTTCAGGTCCTGCTCTAAACCAATCTTGTATATACCAGTTCCATTTAATGATGGAGTTCGTGCACGTCCACCTTTATGACTCTGTGGGTCAGACAATACCCAGTTGCTGAGCAACTCAGGCCTCATAGTGACGTGGTGGCCCATAGTGAGGAGTTCAGTCTCCACTAAGACTCAGTAACAGGCCAACAGCTGTTTTTCAAAAGGGTACGAGTAGTTGTCTATAGAGGATGGCAGGACTTTACTCCAAAATTCCAAGGGTCTGTCCTGTGATTCGCCAATAGGGGCCTGCCAAAGACTCCACCAGCAACTGACACCTCAAGCACCATTGGGTCAGCTGGATCACATGGTCTCAGTAGCAAAGCAGCTTGCATGGCAACCTGAACCTGTTGCATAGCGTTTTCTGGTTCTGGGCCCCACTCAAAAATTGGAGGCCTTTCGCGTCACTTAACAAATATGTCGAAGTTGAACACCAAAATGAGGGATATGTTGCTCCAAAATCGGAAGAGGCCCACCAGGTGTTGTGCCTCCTGTTTAGTTGTAGGGAAGGCCAGATGCAATAGCTGATCATGCACTTTAGATTGGTGATTTGAATGAATGCGGCAGTCTTGCCTCTACAAGACTGCAGCTTTGGGAATGTTATGGCAGTTGTACCCTGTCCTATGAAATCACTATTATGTTGGAATCAGCACAACAGCAATGGATTAGAGATTTGGGTTTTCCTTCTCTGAAACATCATTTCTTGTCACCTCTTTGAAATTTTTAAATTATTTTTTCTAAAATAGTCCTAAAAAATTATCACCTTCGTGAAAGAAGTAAATATTCCTCAAATTTTGCATACAGAAGACTCTATTTTAGGCACTGGCTGCTAACCTTCAGCCCACACGCTGCCCCAGAAAAAAACTTTACAACCTCGGAAATCCATTGTCATCGGTCAGAATCAATAACATCCGGTGGAAGTGGGCTTGTTGCTTGGGGGACAGAAGCGACTGGCAGAAGGCAGCATCATGCAGAAGTCCATTCTGGAGGCCCAAAGGACAAGTGGACCAAGGAACTGAAGTTGCTCTTGCCACCAACATCAGCTTGTTTTTCTAAACGTTGATGACTGTGGGTACATAAAAGACTAAGAAATCTGTGAGAAGAAAATTCTCATTACGTAAAAAAGCTAACATCCAAAGAAAAGTGAATTAAAAACAAAGTGGGGAAGAATGTATATAAAGAAATGGAAACACCACTGTAAGGATTATAAAAGTTATATTTATTCACGATGCTACATTTATTGCATTCCCTTAGAAAAATGGAGATCTGCTATGTGCCCATCTGCACATATCAAACTTTATACAAATTTTGTGTAGCACACAAAGGCCTCTGGTACAGCTAAAACCCTGACACTACGATTTGGGTGTTCCCGCTTCCAGGTCTCCAGTTTATCAAGTCTGGCCACCAAAAACAAACACTGGAATTATAGTCCGTTTTGCTGCTCACACTTACTTTTAGAAATTATCTTGAAATATAATAAGACTCTCAATTACTCTAAAACTCAAAATTCTACGAAGTGGGAGGGCATAAATTTTGCCATGAATTTCAATTTAACAGTACGACAAGTTCGCACCATATGTTGGCTAGGTCTTACGGGGGAAAAAAATCACCTCAGTTCTGACATTATCTTTCTAAATTGTGGCTGCTTCTGAAGATCATTTGTCAAAATATTTATCCAACAATTAAAAAATAATACTCCTTTTACAAAATGGTACAGTAACTCCTTAAAGAACCAGAAAATACTAAATGTCTTTGGCTATACAGTACAACTAAAAGGCCCTCCAAACCAACTATAGAAACAGAAAGCATAACAAAAATATGCATAGAATTTAATTACAATTTGTCTTGCCCTTCCCCCCTTTCTACCCACGTAAGCAAGAAGAATGCAATTTACATAATCTTCCAGATGACACTGGTGGCACCACGAAGAAGATACCCAACTTTCTGCAAAGGCAAAGTGAGTGAAAAGAATACACAACTAAGCTGAGACTTAAAGAGACATGTTTGCTTTGCTTTTTTTTAAAAGTTGTTTCCTTGTGTTGAAAATCTTACGAATATAGAAACTATAGCTGATAAACAAAATCACTATCTTCACAAATGGAACTACAATAGAAAAATAAATCAAATGAAGCATTTATTAATAAATGAAGCCTATTTTATTACTTCAAGTGTTAAAAGATAAAAAAAATTTCAGCACAGCTGTTGTATTTAAAAGAGTGAAACTACATACTATGTTTCTAGCTCAGGAAACAGATGAGCCTGATGTCTTTTAATGACATAACAGTTGACCATTGTACAGTACATCTTATGAAGACCCGTAAATTATAAAGAACTACTGGTTTAAAGTTAGTGATTATAAAACAAAAATGTATTCATAGTTTCAGCTTCTTTTTCCTTCCCCGACCATCAGGGGCTCCATCCATTTTACGTTTCTGTGTCTAAAACAAACAAAAGGATTACGTTTCCTTAGTCAAAAAACTTAAGCATGAAATACAATGATGCATAACAACACTTTAGGTGCTACATAGTTAAGAGAATACTTTTATTTCCTTATCCAGAATAATAAAATCTTTCAACACAAGCTATTGGGTCTGTTTTGCTTAAATAGTAAGGTTCAATGCTAACTGTGAAAGCACAAGAAATGGATAACTCACATTATCGGTAATATCAAAATACCAAATAAATCATACATGATCTCTCAACCAAGTGAAAACAGTAAAACTGTGTTTTCAGAAGAAAATTTCAAACACCAGATATTGGCCATACAGATTCATTTACTCATGACTTTATGTAATTAAATGATGCATGACCTTTTTCTCTTAGTAATTTCGTTTTCACTTTACTGAGACACCAATGGGACAATAAATCAAAGCTTACAAATCAATACTAAACATTGTTGCTTTCCTGGTCTTTCTTGAAAATATTCTAAAATTTAATTTATATTTCTGATGAGAAATACAGGTTTTGCCATTTCCAAAAAACACATTCTCAGATTTTCCAAATCGCTGTATTTTATGTTATCACGATGAAATATATTTCCCATGTAATGCAATATAGTTTAAAGTAAACTTCCATTCCAATTATAGTATATGTGCTGCTAAAGCAAAGTTTAATGTAAACTTTTAAGAGATCTGAAGCTATATTATTTATAAGTGAAAAAAAAAAAAACGGGTGATAGTTAATTTTAGGGGGAAAACTAAAAAAAAGAAAAAAGGAAAAGTGAGTACATATTCGTGAACGCTTACCGACGGCTTTGGTCCTCGTTTCTTTTTCTCTGCCTTCTCCTTTTCTTCCAGTTCCATGTTTTCTCTTTCAATCAAGGTGATTAAGGTATTACACCTCCTCTGGAGCTCCTGAATTGTAATTTATAGATTTTTAGTATTTCAATTTAAAAACAAAGCTATGTTTTTATAGGTTAATATAAATAATACATGAAATAAACAAGTCATTTTCTTACACAACCAAACTAATAAGGCAGACATGTGTACTTTTACCTCAATTCTTTAAGTCATGCTGATAAGTTTTTCATAAATATTTTCTTCACTTATAAATTAAAAGCATTTCATAATATATATAATATTGCTGTTTATTGCCCATGCCTGAGCACTAAGTGTCATTTCTGTAAAAGTTAAAATGCACACACGTGAGGGGCAAAGTCAACCAGAACATTTACGTTCCTTAGGCATGTTGCTCTAAGTTAAGGGATAGCTGACCACGAGGTGTCAAAGGGGTCAGGGATCAGGCATCAAAGAACAAAAAATTGTATCATGGTGAATGAGGGGATGTGCGGAGTGTAGGCAAGTGGAGATCCCCTTTAGGAAAGGTTGCAGGAAGGAGAGGAGCAGTCAGGGTGCATGCAGTACAGCACCAATGAAACACACAACTCTCCTCTAGTTCCTAAATGCTTCCCTCCCCGCCACTATCATGATCCCAATTCTACCTTACAAATCTGGCTAGACCAGAGGATGTACACTGGTACAGATAGGAACTGGAAACACAGGTAATTCAGGACAGATGACCCCTTCAGGACCAGTGGTGAGAGTGGCGATACGGGGAGGGTGGGGTAGAAAGGGGGAACCGATTACAAGGATCTACATATAATCTCCTCCCTGGGGGATGGACAACAGAAAAGTGGGTAAAGGGAGACGTTGGACTATGTAAGATACGACAAAATAATTTATAAATTATCAAGGGTCCATGAGGGAGGAAGGGTGGGCAGGGAGGGAGAAAAATGAGGAGCTGATATGAAGGGCTCAAGTAGAAAGCAAATGTTTTGAGAATGATGAGGGCAATAAATGTACAAATGTGCTTGACACAATGGATGGATGGATTGTGATAAGAGTTGTATGAGCCCCCAATAAAATGATTAAAAATAAAAAGTTAAGCAATAGCACCCATTGTGAACTCCTTCCTACATTCCACAAAAACCCTTCACATGCACTCACCATCGCAGTTCTGGACTTAAGAAACCAGTCAAATCGGAACTGCGGAGAATTGCGAATGCACTGCCGCAATTCATCATAAACATTTTCTTTGTCGAATCCAAGCTTGTGAAGCATACAAATCAAAAACCGATCCTCTTCTTCAGTGTAGTTTTTTCCTTTGTTGGTACCATACGATATTCTCAGCTGATGAAAAGGTGCTTTATACCGTCCAATCTATCAAATCAGGTATTTTATTAAATAAAATACAAGTATTATGTAACCTATACTCAAACTCAACTTTAACAAAATGAGCAATATTATATTTCAAGTCCGAACTTTCAATCCAGTATACTGAAATTGCATTATATAAACTTTCTCCTGAAAAAAAGTTGTTTAGTTTTTACCACTATGAAGAGAAAGGTAATTTCACTATATTTAGGAAAAGAGCTAAAACTAGTAATGCCTTTACAAAAAATAGCCTAATATGGAGATATACTGTATAACTGTATGGCTTCACTGTTGTTTTCAATTTTAATTTTAGACCATCACTGCTTTCCTTTTTAAAAAGCTACTTCAGACTCTGTCTCACTCACTGACTCTCACTCACTCACTCACTGACTCATTCACTGTCTCACACACTCACTCAGTCACTAACTCTCACTGTCTCATTCACTCACTGCTTCACTCTCACTGCCTCACTCTCTCACACACTCACTCTCACTGCCTCTCTGTGACTCACTCTCACTCACTGTCTCACTCTCTCACTGCTTCATTCACTGTCACTGTCTCAATCACTCACTGCCTCACTCACTCTCTGCCTCACTCTCTCACGGACTCATTCACTGTCTCACTCACTCACTCACTCACTCACTCAAAAAAAAAAAGCTACTTCAATGCTCAGTGACTCACTCTGTCTCACTCTCACTCACTCACTGACTCTCACTGTCTCATTCACTCACTGCCTACTCACTCACTCAGTGACTCACTCTCTCACTCTCACTCACTCGCTGACTCACTCAATCACTGCCACTCACTGTCTTACTCACTGACTCTTACTCTTATTCACTACCTCACTCACTCACTGCCTCACTCTCTCACTCAGTGAGTCACTCTCACTCACTCACTCTCTGCCTCACTGTCTCATTCTCTCACTGCCTCACTCACTGCCTCAGTCACTCACTCAAAAAAAAAAAAAGCTACTTCAATGCTCACATTCAGAGATAGGAATATTTTAACGGTCATATTTAGTAATAAACACACTACCTTTGTGTCAAGTGCTTTTTTGATACTAATTCTTCTCTGAATCCTTGCCTCTCCTCTTTCAATCTGAGCCATAATCTTCTCTATGTCCTGGAGTTCATTGCATCTTTCCCAGAACACAGCTGTAGAGAGAGTAAGGGGCGGGGGGGATAATAACTTTGCAGGCTTGTTAAGTTAAGTGCTGTTGAGTTGGTTCTGACTCTCAGCAACCCTTTGTTATAACAGAAGGAGACCGCCTGGTTGTCCTTTAAGCTGTCAATCTAACCATGAAGCAAGATGTCCTTTCCCATGCATTGGCCTCTCTTGACACCATGTCCAAAGACAGACAGACAAGGTCTTGCAATGCTTGAGTCTAAAGAACATTCAAGCTATACCTTCTTCCATTAGTTCATTCTTCTGTAGTCCATCTTATATGCCAATATCCTTTGCCAGCACCAAAATGCAAGTGGAACAGTTCATGAATTGGGTACCCTTATTTTATCCAGCTGTTCTACATGCATGAGGTGAATGAAAATACCAAGGTTTTGCTTGCAGACACTTCTGCAGCAGATTTGCCCAAAGCACTACATTGCTTGATTTCTTCACTGCTGCTTCTAAGAGCACTGATTATGAATTCATGTAAAATAAACTCCTTGGCAACTTCTGTATTTTCTCTATTATGATGTTGGTCTAGTTGTAAAGATTTTAGGTTTAGTTTTCTAACTGACCAATCATTCAATCCACTTGAGCATTGTGCAATTATCACCATGATCAATTAAAGAGCACTTTGTTCTTTCTCATACTCATTGATGTTAATCCCTGTTTATTAGCTCCAACCTCTCCTGCCATGTCCCTAGCTAATTATTAATCCAGTTACTGAACCTACATAGCGTTATCTATCCTGGATTTCATATATCGAAGAGACAAAAATCTAACAAGGAGCTCTGTCTCTGAAGCGTGATCTATACTGAAGCCTATAATCAATAAGTACTTCACGTCCTCTTCACTTTCCGCAACCAAGGCAATGGTTCTCACCACAACACCTCACTTGACAATCCAACTAACTTCAGGAAACACAGCCACGTAATAATTAAAGTAGTTCAAAAAAGGAATGAAATGAGATCACAGTCATTCTCTTGTAATTCTCTTGACCAGAACTGGTTAGCTAGGGTTTTAAAAGAGCAAGCAATTATACCATTTTATGTAAGACATATTTTCTAAATTGAAGTTTTTAAAAAAGCACAGAACAAAGCACAAAATTGCATCAAAAATCTAATTTCAGAGCAAGAAAATGTAAGTTTTTACTAAAACTCAAAAGCCTGGCAAACATTTTTTAATCAATTAAAGCAACAAATTAATTACCTGAGTATTCAATGACCTCCTCCGGAGTTTTTCCTTCTACTTCTCTTGCTATATTTTCAATATCATCACGACCCCACTTCTCATTAGCTTTGATAAACTGGTTAAAATCTCTTTTATTCCAGTTGGTAAACCCCTATGAAGAACAGACACAACATATTTTATTATAGAATCTTAAACACCGGGGCGGGGGGGGGACACGGGACTATTATATGTTGGTTCTAATTGTTATAGAAATAAATTTTCCAATGCTTCCAGGCAATCTTTTTTATTGATATTTTAAAATACTTTTTTTTCTCTCAAATAGATAGTTTTAGCAATACATCAGTTAGATAACTAAAGAGTAAATCTGAGCGGGAAATAAAGTAAGGAAGATTGCTTGAGTTTGTGTAAGATACTGTCTAAATCAGAGCACACCAGAATACTACAATGTTGGCAATGTAGAAGATTCACTGCAGAGGAAAGATGGGACCATTGTAAGAAAAAGTTAATCAACAGAATACCTGCTCAACCAAGACCAGTAAACCTCTACAAACCTCCTGAACTGGCTAACTAGTGATAATATGAATGTGGCATTTACACACATGTTGAGGATGTTTGGCTCTAAATGTTCCTACTTTGAAACAAACAGTGTAACTCCTAACACAATCAATCTAGCACAATGCCTTCCAAAAATGACTATTGAGTCTGTGTGGACTAGAAGTTATACCTGTGTTAGAAGTTTCTCTTTTTCCTCTAACTCTTCATCATTAAGAGGTTCAGCCTCATCAATTTTAAGTTGTTCTTCTTTTTGTGCTTGTGCTGCATTTGGTAGGTCAGGATTTCGTGGCACCTAAAAAATATTTTTCTATGTTATCAAATCAATAAACTTTAGAGAATTGAACCATGAACTAAAATTCTTAACCAATTATTTTAACACCACACACTTCTAATAAATCATATCCGCGCCCCCGCCCCCCCCCCGCCCCCAAAAAAATCAGTGGGGCTTCAAAGGGTTTATAAAACAAATAGAATTAAAGGGCAACACATTTTTTTCTCTCAACCCTTTCCAGTCCCCTTGTATTAACAGGAGCATTTATTATGTTAAAAATAAACCAAATTGCTCATCAATGTTGGGGGGTTTTCCCTCTCTCTTTAGAGTAACAGACACATGACATATTGGATGGTAGAATGAATCATTGTCTTTACTCAGCTCAAATGACTTAAATTAAATATTCACAAGAATCCATTCTCATACTTTCACAATGGAGTATAAATAGGAAAGGACATGAAATAAAGCATTTCCAATACCTTGTACCCAATAGTTTTTCTGTAATATAGAATTTCTTTTTCCAATAACTCAAATAAACGTGGAGGAAAGAACTGGAAATCTTGGACATTTGGTTGCTTTGGAGGTCGAGGGGCCTAAAGAAAAATAAAGCGGAATTAAAAAAAAATTCTTTTACTTTAAACGTATTCCTAGTCATTGTCATTCTATATAAATTATAATCACCATCTTTCAAAAAATTTGCATGCACCTTCTAATAGAATGGAAATTATATAACTAAGCTTTTAGTAAGCACATAAATTAGTTTTAGAAAACTTCAACTAAAAACTGAATAGGAAAAAAATGGAATAGAAGAGTACACGCTAACAAATCACACAAAATGTCTTGCTCAGTAAGCTAATTTGGTCATATGGCTGTAATAAAATGTACATATATTTCCATTATTTCCCATTACTTTTGTTGTCAACATACCTTGGGTGCTTTAGGCTCACTAACTCGAAGAGCTTCCCTGAAATATGCATCAACAGCATAGTTGGCTTTTCTTTCTCGCTTAGGTGGTTCAATCCATTCTGTGAATGCAATCTAGCATGTGAAAAATAATTCAAATCAACTTATTACACATACTAGCAAGTTCTTAATTGTGCATTAGAAGTGATGTTTGTAAGTGGAATATTCCCAAAAGATGACCACCAAGCTCTACACGCGAGATTAAGGTTCTAAACTCAATAGCATCTAGTTAACACATAGTAGCATCTAGTGAAAAGTATAGGCACTTACAGGTTTCTTAACCAAATACAATATTCTACTGAGTTGGGAAAAAAAAAGCTATACAATACATGCCAAACCTTTATTAGGAGAAGACATAGGGATACAAAATGAGCTTCAAAAAGTTCTTTAAAAAACAAACAAAAACAAAAAGATAATGGAAAATTTCCATCAACTTATTGAAGTCCCCTAACACGTCTTAACATTAATAAGGAAAATCCTAAGTAGGTAAAACTATTTTTCCTTTAACTCTGTAGGTATTTTCCAGTGTCTGTATGTTAACAAATAGTGTTTATGAAATTAGGAAAATTTCCCCTACCATCAATTCTGCTATAAGGAAAAAAAAAAATCTACTAAGGTTATAAAAGACTTTTTGCCAGCAATTTTTATTTTCAAATATTCCAAATAATTATATTTGTTCCACAAACTTATAGAAACTTCAAATAATCTCAAAGCTTGTAAATTAAAATGCAGCCTTTAGTTTTAAATAAAATTAAAAATTCTTTTCCTCAGATATAAACAAACAGATGATGGATGTTTGACACAAATTACAAGGTATTACATCGTATATTTAAATTCCAGGTTTCCAATAATCTAACAACTAAAATAATCAAAACCTCTTCCTAGCATACCTTTTGTTTTTCTCTATAGTCTTCTCCTTCAAAGTTATACACACTGGATTCTGTATCCATCGTAAAGTTTCTAAGTGAGCTTTCACCCATCTTGGAGAGCTTTTCATTCATCTCTGCAGTCTAGAAACAAGAAACACGTATCGGACTTTTCAAAGGGCATAAAAACACTGCTCAAAATGTCTCTGAGTACACAAATGCCTTTTTAAAAGCAGAGTATTATCTACTACTGGCACATCCAAATATTTCCTCACACAGTTCTGTTAGGGAACACCCTAAAAGAATGATCATTTATGTCGCCACGAAGGTGGCAAGAAGCCCCTGAAACAACCCAAAAAGCAGCCCACGGAAATGAACGAGGAAGATGAGGCTTACAACAAGCAGAAACAGAAAGAGCAGAAGAAACTCCAGGAGCTAAAAGTGAAGGCCCTGGGGAAGGACCCTCTGGCCCCAGGTGGAATTAAGAAATCTGGCAAAAAGTAAGCTGTTCTTGGTGACTGGGGCAATGATGACCCTTGATTCCATTCCTGTGTAAACTTCTAGATTCCCTGCTATAACAGAGTGACCCCAGTCCAGAATCTTGCCAGCACTACGCTTCAGTCTTTGTTATGCCCAGAATTCTGTACCATCTGGAATTAAAGCAACTCATTTTGGGGGAAAAAAAAGGTACTATCATTTAATATGTACGTTACCTTCTTTGCACCTCTTTCCAAAATACCATCAATATCCTCATCAGTGATCTCACTTTCCTTTGAAGCAAATACATGTGTTGCCCCATGTCGAATCATTTGAAGCATTTCATCCTTCCCAATTTTGTTCAGATTCTGATCCACAAGCCTTCCTGAAAAATTATTATGTTGTATATTAATCAAGTAGAGTTTTATTAGCAAGTAGTACCTTCTATCATTTGTTAATTTTCATCTGATAACTGATTACCCAAAATTTAATGCCAATTTTTCAGGTGATAAGCTTCTAAATGTTTCAAAAATTATGTAATCGGTTTATTGTATATTGTCACATGAAATATATATTTTTTCACCTGAGGTGGTTATAATTTGGGATATTTGAAAATCAAAGTTCTTGGTAAGAAATGATAAAAATATTTTTCCCTAAGTGGAAACACCATAAATAAGTATAAGAAGCTTCTGGTGAGTAAAAAGATGTCAAAATTAATACTCCCGAAATAAATTTCTAATGCATTCAAAATTTAAGTACAAAATAAAAGCTTCACACTGCCAAACGTTATGGAAGAATTGTAACACACAACATTAAGTTCTTCAGGTATTCAGACCTGTGGCTAACACTATGGATGACATTGTGGGCTACCATTTGGCTGACAAAATTAACACACAAGAAATACATTAAAATAAATAAATAAAGAAAGAAGAAATACATTTTAGCTTTATAGACAAACATGCATACATTTATGCAACAGAAGAGCGATCAATGTGTATTGTAGTTCCAACTTCCTGCCCCCCAACCCACTTCTGCATTATCTGTACTATCGCAAACTTTAACTTTCATAAAACAAATGGTGTCTTCCTTAAAAGTTAATTTAAAATGAGACCTTGAAGTTTCCTTCAATTAATCCAAAATAATAGCCCCATTTTCACCCTTGGTTATGTGTCAAGATGATCTTAACCAATAGAGACCCTACATGGCACAGAGGGACAATGCTACAGGATTTTCTAGGCTGTAATCTTTACAGAAGTACATCATGTAGTCTTTCTCCTGGAAAGCAGCTGGGTAGTTCAAACCATCGCCCTTTCAGTTAGCATGCAAGTGCTTAACCACTGTAGCACCAAATGAATAAGCCAAACCATCCACTACAACTCCTAGGAGCACAAAACTGCCCCGTGGAGCTTCAGGGGCTCTAACTCTACAAGCAGCACAGTCTCATCATTCTCCTGAGCAGGAGTTGGTAGGTTCAAACATAACCAGTAAGAGTCTAACATTTCACCCACTATATGATCAGGGTTCCTTTTTACAAGTGTTAGCCCTACTTACATATATGATTAGTCTGTGTCCCCTCCTAAAGTAAACACCATAAAAATAAAAGCACTTATTTTGTTCACTTTAATACTCTCAGCATCAAGTTACAGGCACCTGGTTGGCTGCTTAATGAATAATCACACTTTTTTTAAGAGCTAAATCATATACTTTTACATTTTTTATTTCTTCAGCATTCCCCAGAACTCAGTAAATGTAATGGGTTTCTTGTATATTGTCACAATGTTTACTGGTGAAAGAGATTTAAAAAATATTTTTAACCCCCAGAGCTCAGTATATGTAATCTAATGTCAAAACAGTCCTATTTATTTAATATCTCCAAGTGCACTACAGTTACTAAATATGGTCACCGTTTTTGTAACTTCCATCAAACAACTCTTTTCCTGGTGGGTCTTGGTAAGAGAATAAAGGCAGAAATGTTGATTATATAACTCAAAGTTGTGAGTGACTGGTTCATTGTAATGGCTACCCGCTAACTATAAGATCTCAAGCACCAGAGATCTTACCACCAGTAAGAGAGAAGAGTCAGTAGCGGAGCACATCCTTTGAACTCTTAAGAACTCTGCATATCGAACCTCCTTTACCCAGGAGACAGCTCTGACAATAGAGCTGTAGCAACAAAGTCAAGAGGCACACCATGAGACAGAGCAATTAATTTTCCAGACAACACAGCAAGTAAAGCTTAATGTTTCCAGGCATTTAACTGGGGGAGCCTAGGTTTGCTGACCCACTGAGTATCTTTGGACAGGATTATGGTGGAGTAGCATGCCCTTTGGGCATTTATTGGCATCTTTAAAAGAACTCTGTATCAAGAAAAAGACATGGGTAGAGGGAGAACGGGGACTAAATCGCCCAAAGGGAGGGTGTTGTTTTATATCTCCACAGGAGAGGGAGAGAGGGACAAGACTTCAACCCAGCACACCAAGACGTGAATGCAACATACTAGCATGAAGCAGGGAACCAATAGAGGTCTGCGGAGGCGGGCCCAATCCCAATGGCACCCCATCCCCTCCCCCAGAAGAATTCACTTCAGAGGACATAACTGAAGCTACAGCTCAGGGAGAGGGGCACGTCTGATCAAAGCACACAGGAGCAAACAAAGAGGGAAGGACAGAGTGGAACATATCCTGGCCCATCAAGCACCGAGGAAGATATTGGCTGTCCAGAGCAGCCAATGCACACAAAGGACCATATGGCTGGCCCCACCACAAGACATGACATCCCTCACTGACCCATCATGCTACAAAGGATAACACTGGAGGCAGTGTGGGAATTGTGCCCAATCTGACCCCACCATACCTGGGGGAAAGCTTAGGGCATGCAAAAGAGCAGCCAGGTGAGGAGAGCAATGAAATCCTCAGGGAATACCAAAAATAGACTTTGGGGGCAGGGCTTGGCACCCTATCAGACTGGACTAGAAAACACTTCTAAAGGTCAACAGACTTGGAACTATTTTTAGGCTATTCTTTTGTTGTTGTTTTTTTTGTTTTGTTTTCTTGTTGTCTATTGTTGTGTGGTTTTGCTCGGTCTTGTTTTTGTGCTAATTATTGTCTCTGCGTGTCTATCTAGATAAGATAGGTGGGATAAACAATCTGGAGGAGAAAACAACGGGGCTGACGGTTCTGGGGGGGGCGGGGGAACACAAGATAAGGGGAAGCAGGGAAAAGAAAGTGAGTGTTAACAAACCCAGGGACAAAGGGAACAACGGGTGATCTAAAATCAATGGCGAGGAGAGTGTAGGATGCCTGGAAGGGCTTGATCAAGGGCAATGTAATGGAGAAGAATTACTGAAACCCAAATGAAGGCCAAACATGATAATGGGACAAGAGGGAAGTAAAAGGAAATAGAGAAAAGAACTAACTAGGAGAAAAATGGGCATTTAGAGGTCTAAATCAGGTATGTATGTATATAGATATATGCACATAGATATATTTCCCTATCATTATATATATATATATAAAATGATAGGGAAATATATCTATGTGCATATATTTATATGTTACGTATTAAGGTAGCACACAGACATTGGGCCTTCACTCAAGGACTCCCTCAACACAAGAACACTTTGTTCTAATAACCTGGCATTCCTTGATGCTCACCTTCCCCAACATGATCGCTGAAGACAAAATGGGTGCATAAGCAAATGTGGTGAAGAAAGCTGATGGTGCCCGGCTATCAAAAGATAAGAGCGTCTGGGGTCTTAAAGGCTTGAAGATAAACAAGCGACCATCTAGCTGAGAAGCAACAAAGCCCACATGGAAGAACCACACCAGCCTGTGTGACGATGAGGTGTCGATACTATCAGGTATCAAAGATACAGAACAAAAAAATCACATCAACGTGAATGAGGGGGAGTGCGGAGTGGAGACCCAAAGCCCATCTGTAGGCAATTGGACATCCTCGTACCAAAGGGTCACAAGGAAGACATAAGCCAGTCAGGGTGCAGTATTGCACCGATAAAACATATCTTTCCTCTAATTCTTTAATGCTTCCCACTAGCCCACATCATCATGACCCCAATTCTACCTTACAATTCCGGCCAGACCAGAGCACGTACACTGGTATAGGTAAGAGCTCACAACACAGGGAATCGAAGGCAGATAAACCCCTCAGGACCAATAATGAAAGTAGCAATACCAGGAGGGCAAGGGGAAGATGGGAAGAGAAAGGAGAACCGATCACAATGATCTATATAAAACCCCCTCCCAGGGGGACGAACAACAAAAAAGTGAGTAAAGGGAAACATCGGTCAGTATAAGACATGGAAAAATAATAATCTATGAATTATCAAGGGTTCATGAGGGGGGGAAATGGGGGAGAGAGGGGGAAAAAAATGAGACGATACCAAGAGCTCAAGTAAAAAGATAATGTCTTGAAAGTGATGATGGCAACAGATGTACCAATGTGCTTGACACATGGATGTATGTATGTATTGTGATAAGAGCTGTAGGAGCCCCTAATAAAATAGTAAATAACCTTGTATCATTACCTGACTGGGGGTGAGGCCCCTGGGGTATTGTGTATAAAAGGAAGAAGGCCACAGAGAAGCCTGCCTGCCTACGGACACTGCTGAGAAGAGACCGGCCTAGTTGAATAATTATATCCTGAGCATTTGTAACCTGTTAATTTCCTAATGAACCCCATCATTCTGAGTACTGTCTACGAGCTACAAGGCAATTACAAAGAAGTACTGAAGCCAGCATTAAAGTGCTGTGGGAAGGGCAACTGGTGTTAAGTGGTACAGAAGCTGGGCATAGCTGACTCAACCTCATTTAAGAACTAGCAGTTGATGCCGACGATGATGATTCTCCTTACACAAATGAAGAAGTGAGAAGCTATCAAACACCACCTCCATCGTCACACGTTGCCATACCAGACATTTATTATTGTTTATATATTATCCATTTTATTCTAAAAACATATCCTAAATGGTGGGCTAAGTGATGAACTAATGAGCTGCTAACTGCAAGGACAGTGGTGCAAAGCCATGAGCTGCTCCACAAAAGAAAGGTTGTCTATTCTCATACAAATCCAAAGGAGATGGATGAGTGAGATCAACTCGATGCTGTTGCTCAGTAATTATGGGACAGAGTAAAGGAGCCAAGCGGAGACCAGAGACCAAGGTAAGGAAACCAGGAGATAAAACAAAGAGTAGAGATTAATGAGACCAGGGAAGCAGAGGCCCAGGGACCATGTGATTGAGGCTGAGGACTCGAGACTTGGATGCTGGCTGAGGAGAGGTGCTGCTGTGGACCAATGACGTATCCGTGCTGTTTACAGATCCTGGCTTTTGGCAACCTACTAATTCCCCTAATAAACGCCTTCATTTCGGGGAAGGAAAAAAAAATCAACTCTGACAGCTGATGGGGGGGCGGGGGCCTTTCTTCTCGTTTTAGAGATGAACATAATGGGCTGAAATAAGCAAAAAGTGTGACTGCTAACTTATAGAGCCAATACTCAAAAGTTAACATTCCTGACCCTGCCACACTTTTAATAACAAATTAAACTAATATCTTTGTAATACAAATGTTAGCTACTAGCTTACCTGATTCAAGAAGATGCCTTAATAACAAAAACTCCTAAACTAGCACCCCCCACCAATTTATCAATCCAGCTTGGTACAATTTTTAAGTTAGGGCTCACCTTGTTGAATGACTATTGAATCCAGTCTCAGTTTCATCTCAGCACGTTCCACTATCCTTTCTTCTACAGTGTTGTCAGTGATAAACCGGAACACTCTCACTGTCTTGGTTTGTCCAATTCTGTGTGCTCGGTCCTAGACAGCCAACCATGTGATTTTGAATATAGTCTAAAAACTCTATAATGCTCGCATGCATACATTTAAATTATTTTCAAGCATAAAATATTTTTTTAATTTTGTTAACAGAGTAGCAATAAAAATATAAGGAAAAATAGTGTGTAGCTTTGGGTTTTAAGTTTACTTATATTCACTATTTTTCTACCTAAATCAAGTCTAAATTATGACCTAACCTTTAAAAGTCCTCATATCTAACTACATGCAAGTATTCAAAATAATTTTGATTTTCTATTTAACTTCTGGTAAGTTGACAAACTTTATTACTAAAAACAGCTCTCATTTTAAATAATAATGAACATTCCCCGGCCACCTTTACAAAAGGTACTGGATGAAAGTGACCAACACCAGCAAATTAGTAAAACCAAGTTAATGGTCGCTGTACCATGGGCTAAGCCATTTAAGTTCTGATATTAATTTACAGATCATAAATTTTCTCAACCTAATATAAAATTTATTTCCCTGATCTAGCCACATATGGGCACACATTTTAAGCATGTAATATGTGGCAGGCAGGCTAATTGCTCAGCAAGCCCATTTCTCTTTCCCCTTGGAACACAACTATACGACCATTTAACAATTCCCTCACAGTCAGTTAAGCTATATGAGAACGCTTTCCGGTTTGACCTATTTAAAAACAAAATTAGACAACCCTCAACTAACATAAAAGATGGCAAAAGAAAAACCGAGCATTCTAAAATATGGCATAGCTATAAGACGGAAGTATCCTGATGTGGATGAAAATCACCTTCAAAGTACTCACTGGAAAGAAATATTAGGGGAGAGAAAAGATTCTACTGGGTTAAATCACTTGTATTTGGATATTGTCTGATTTACTCTAAAGCATAGTTATCTGCTATCTCTTACCATAGCCTGAAGATCTACTTGGGGATTCCAATCTGAATCATACAATATTACAACATCAGCAGTAGCAAGATTGATGCCAAGACCACCGGCCCGCGTGCTTAGCATAAAAACAAACTTTGTGCTGTTTGGCTCATTATACGCATTGATGGAATCCTATGTATAAAAAATAAAACAAGTGTCAGAAAATTATTTCACCTGATTTTTAAATTGTTTTTCATTATTTATGAAAGATGTGTTTATATTCCTAGAGAGGACAGAAATATTCATTGAAAAATTATTTTACTTAACAAGAACTCAGACCTTGTAATTGAAGTACAAGATAGCTCTTTCAAAGTCAATAGATTTCCTCATATACCTGCAAGACTTGGTTAGGAAATGAATGAAAAATGTCTCAGTGACGAGCCAGTCAGGGGGCGATGTAACAACGATGAAAAATACAACTTTCCTCTAGTTCCTAAATGTTTCCTCCCCGCTCCCACTATCATGATCCGAATTCTACCTTGCAAGTCTGGCTAGACCAGAGGATGTACACTGGTACAGATAGGAACAGGAAATCCAGGGAATCCAGGGCGGATGATCCCTACAGGACCAGTGGTGTGAGTGGCGATACAGGGAGGGTAAAGGGAGAGTGGGTAGGAAAGAGGGAACCGATTACAAGGAACTATATGTGACCTCCTCCCTGGGGGATGGACAACAGAAAAGTGGGTGAAGGGAGACATCAGACAGGGCAAGATATGACAAAATAACAATTCATAAATTATCAAGGGCTCATGAGGGAGTGGGGAGTGGGGAGGGAGGGGAAAAATGAGGACCTAATGTCGGGGGCTTCAGTGGAGAGGAAATGTTTTGAGAATGATGAGGACAATGAATGTACAAATGCGCTTTAAACAATTGATGTGTGTATGGATTGTGATAAGATTTGTATGAGACCCTAATAAAATGATTTAAAAAAAATGTCTCAAGTCAAAAAATAAAATCAATAAAAAGTAAAATATCATTTTTTTTAAAATGCATTATTAAATGGGAGTTAAAACACATATCATATCATTCCATAGTTCAATTGCATCAAGCAGAATTATACAATTGCTATCACTATCAGTTTCCATATATTCTTTTTCTTACTACTCTTTGACATCGTCTCCCTGTCCCACTCCCACCCTCCCTGACCAATCCCTTATTCTACTTGCTGTCCCTGTAGGTTCATCAATCCTGGGTTTCATAAACCGAAAAAAAGAGCATATAACGCAGATTTCATAAGGGTGACCTCCAGTGATAGAACTCCTCTGAGATATATCCTCGTATGAACAAACAAAAATACAGAAAATGTTGAAAACCAGATCAGGCCCAGCGTGCAGAGAAGGGATCAACTGACAAAACTGTTCAAGTCAGATTTATCTCCTCTGATTTTTACTCACTTGTCTCTCATCGTGGGGTGTCTGCCCATCCAATCTGCAATATTCGTAATTTCTCCACATGCAATAATCTTCCAAAATATCCAACACTCTTGTCATCTGACTAAAGATTAGTACTCGTGAACCTGTTAATATAATAACTCATTTCAGAGGCTTCAAAAGTAGAAACTTTTATTTAAAAGTATATGGTTAACCAAATTACCTCCTATTACCAAATTACCTAATTACAAGGGGAAAAAATTCTGCATTTATTATCCAAGTGTGTCATTCTTCACCATTCCCCCCCCATGCTGGCATAAAAAGGGTAATATTTGTATAGCACACTAAGGTAAAATGAAGGATATCTGCCTCCACCTGGAAGGTTTCACCATCTCATAAGCCTTAAGAAACATTATACTCTTACCTCACATACATGTAAAAATAAGCTTCCAACATGCCTCTCCCCGTCCTTGCACCACTACCACTGCCAAGCCCTTCTGTGCCACTGCTTCCTTACTCATTCCCCAGTACACACCGATATGCCCACTTTGTCATCTTCTACTTCTGAAGCCTGATCCTTCAGGGCAAAGGGCTACCAATGTGAGCCTAATATCTAAACAATTTACCATTCATTTATCTACCATAATTGAAATTATTCAATGCCACTCATTTTTCAGCCAGCTTTATGAAATGATCCTGTCTTAGAGGCTACAGTTGACGATCTCTGACTGTCCCACCTTCTCATACTCCAAATGCATAAGAATGTTCGATAATCTCTTTTCCCTAGAGAGTTCAGTGTATCTCTCAATAAACATAAATTTATTTCCTTACAGGTTCCTGCCACTCCTCCTCACCAAATGAACTTTTCTTTACTTGATTTCCAAGGTGCTTTTCAAATTATAGCCACATGAATATTATTTTTTTAAAAACTAATTTATTGATAACTCTTATAATATGGTTTTGATAGCCAATATCCTAGAAGAGATTCATGTATTGGTATGATTCTCTCTGAGCAAAATATACATAGAAACAGAAAAATTTGAGATCTGATTCTATATTGGTTTCATATTATAAAATCACTGGGACTTTAAAATGTCACAATATATAAAAGTTTTAAGATTTTATGTGAATGTATGTATATACAAAGGGACTTCAAACATTTCAAGGAAAAATGAAAAGGATGACAAATGTTTTGAAGCTCTCTTGTATGTGTTGTCTATGTGCATACATATGAAGTGGCTTCAAAAGGTTCATGGGAAAGTGAAATTAAAAGATAACATACCGGTAATCTTTCCAGAAACCTTCTGAAGCATGCACATATATGTAGTGTTTAACTTATGACTGACTGGCATTTAGGGTTTGTTTTTATGTAAATATTATTATTAATAATACATAGTACACAAAACACTGCAACAATAATTTACTAATGTCTTGTAATTCTCAAACCACCCCCAAAGACATTAAAAACATGTATTTCCACTGAATAAAAGGGACTAATAATAAAAACTTAAAATTTAAAAAAAAACAAACAGTATTCAACTACCTCAAAACAGACTTATAATGGAATGGTCAGAACAGAACTCCACTGTAAATGTGAGCTACCTATGTGTTTGTGTGCATATTGAAGAGGTTATCGATACCATCATATCTCTTTCTAGTTCATAAGAATTTAAAATGATAAATTATTTATGTATGAAATATATGAGATTTGTTGCAAAATAACCTGGGAAGGAGGCTATAGGTACAGTATAGAAAAACTAGGTTTGCTATGAGCACATAGGTAATGACTGGTGCTGGCTTCATATTATGTTCCCTCAATGATCACACAATTTAAAGATACTTTTCTATAATTACACCACACACATACCATTGTCTTACAAAGAGTTAGAATGTTATAAATTTTAAGACTTGGGTCTGCACAAGGTAATTTAGTAAAAAAATACATGTGACTACTCCTGAAACAATACCATGAGCACATATACCATTGTCTAACAAAGAATCTAAGAACTATGTGGGTCCAAAAAGTAGTGTAGGCATTTTATGACAAAAAGCTGAGATAATAAACATTTTAAAGTTCTCTCCCATTTAGTTTTATAATGAGTCAAAGTAATCACTTCAAATCTGTAGTGCCTTAACATTAGAATTTTTAGTTTCCATTACTTCCCAATTGTGATTATAGTATGGATACCTTGTTCTTTCAATTTGGGGAGCAGCTTGTCCAACACCACCATTTTGCCACTATTGGTAACTAGATGCATATCTGTTGTGTATGGTGGACCAGGTTCAGCTCCATCAAAGAGATATGGATGATTACAGCATTTCCTCAACTGCATCAGGATATTCAACAGTCTCATTTTGTCCATCTTCCCTGCAGAGTTCAATATATCTATATCCTTCATCAAAATCCGAGTATACCTATTGAAAAGAAAAGTACTTTAAAGTACTCAGTCTCTGAACAGTCCTTGTCACTTTACATAATAAATCACCTTCCTACCTCAACCCCACATACCTGGAATGAACAAATCATAAACTTCTAATCCCTCTTTCCACCTCAACCCTGAAATACCTTTTGAGGGCTTTTGGCATTTAGACAATCATTTTACAGGAATGAGAAATTTATCTCAATCCAGTTACAACCTTGAAACTTTTCAACAAAATCTTAGCAATATATGCTTCAACATCTCAAATCATGGAGGTACAAAATACTGTTCTAGGCAGGCCTTTCCAACCAAACCAAAATTCCCTGCTATCTAGTCGATTCTGATTCATGGCGTCCTTTAAGAGAAGCAGGACGGCCCTGTGGCTTTCCAAGATGAACTCTTTACAGGGGAAGAATGACTTAGCTCTCTCCTACAGAGCAGCTCTTGGTTTCAAATTGCTGCCCTAGGTTAGTAGCCCAATGAGCACCCCCTATCTTATCAGGGCCCCTTTCCAACATAGCTCTAATAAAAAAGTTCACCATTATGTTTACCTAAAGGGAAAATTAAATGTCTTCCATTAGCACTGACTACGTCATAGTTCAGTATTTTGGAGCCTAATAATCTGTGCCTCCAAGTAGCCCTTCAAACACAGTATTTTGAAGGCATGTAAAGCAGTTCAACTTTTACAGTAGTCCTTCTGTTACAGCCTAACAACCCCAATCTCTTTAAATGATCTATCCAAATTAAGTAGGGAATGGAATATATTTTCGATGTGGTATGAAAGGTACAGAGTAGAGTGGCTGTGATTTCTCCACTTTGAGCACAATATACTTATTCTATATGTTGATAAAACTTCAGGGAGAGCACAGGGATAAGAACAAATAAGGGGAATTAACAAGTTTAACTTATTTACGAGACTTTAATATTAGCTCCCATGAACTATTACTATCATCGGTTTCACATAAAAACATTTTTTTCATGCCTAAAATAAACCATCCGTTAAGAATGGAAAGTCTTCAATTGAGTAAGTTTAGCTCTGCTAAGAAAAGGAACTATCAGAAATTTCCAGCAGAGAGTAATCTATAATCCAGTACTTATAAACTTTCAAGTTACATCATTATGTCTCTGAACTACGCCAGCACCACTTTGCTTTAAGAAAACAAAACACAAATGAAAGCTGGTGATAATAGTTTCAACATCCCAGTGACATACCATTCCCTTTGCATTTTGCTGAGACCCACATAGATTTTTACTTCCTTCTTTGGAGGCAAACTTTTTTCAACATCAGCCTTGATTCGGCGAAGGAGGAATGGACGTAAAACCTTAAAAGAGGTAAAATAAAATATGACTTCAATGAAATGTAAATTATCTGAGGAATGAAGTCTTTCAAATACATGTTAAAAGTTTCTACTTGAATGTCATTTCAAGTTATTTCTTCAATATATAATGAGTATGGACTTTTACATTAATCATAAAATGTTAAAAGCATACATTTTATTAGAAACAATGTTTTCAACCTTCAGTGCCTTTTAGGTTTAAAGCTAACAACTAGCATACAGATTACCTAACATAATAAATGGCTGGGCCTACATAAGGTATGCAGCATTTGTCAAATTTACTACCTTTTTAAAAAAGCTAACATATACCCATACAAAATAGACATATAGAATAAAAAATTTTAAATACCCATGTGGACCTCATCTAAACTAACACCCCAGAAATTTTTCCTGTGCCCCTCTCATCTACTATCTTCTTTTCCTACCCAGGGAAAAGCAATAGTCTTACTTTAGTACCATACTTTAGCTCTGCTTCTTTTCGCATAGCCCTTTATTCAATGTTTATTAGACATACTAATGCTATGTGCAGTTCATGAATAGTCATAAAATAGTACATTTAAAGTACCTGCAAAACTAAAAATATCTTTCCATTTTTAAAATTTATGCCATGTTTTGTTCTACTTACATTGGATGACTGCATCACCAAAGAAAGCTACACCAAAATTAAAAATTGGTGAGAAAAATACCCCACCCCCCCCCCCCCACCCCCCCCACACGCTAGAAAGGTAATCTAGCCAACAGCCAACACGTGAGTGAAGACCTTCGGCTACACTGGCTCTTTCAAAATTATTTAGCTAAATGCAGGTAAAACAAACTCAGATGAATACAGCAAAGACACTAGCCAGCCAACCCACAAAACGTGAAGTCGTTTTAAAATATAAGCTACTAGTGTTTTGTTTTAGAGGGAAGGGCTGAAGGGGTCACTGGGGGTAAGTATCAGATATGGCTAATGGCTGCATTACGACCTCTAACTCACGCGAATTTATCAGGAATTGTTTTATCACAGGACCACAAAAGCTATGGACGGAGGTCAGAGTAAAAAGCAGAGCTGAGTAAAGGAGGCATCTCCTTGCTGCCTAGCTCTGATGAAAATAAACACAATGGCGTAATTGATTGATTCTGTTGGCTGGGCTATTCTGGTTTGTTTGCGCTATGTGTTGTTGTTAGGTGCCACTGAGCTGGTTGTGACCCATATAGACTCTACATACAACAGATAAAAATATGGCAGTGGCCTTTCAATTGCTCCTGTGCCTGAGGCAAAAGACATCATGCTTGGTAAAGTGAAGGGGCAGCAAAATCAGAGGAAGACCCTCAATCAGATGGGCTGACACCATATAACTACCAATTTATTTATTTATTT